CATTTTAATTTATATTAGATGTTGTTCAAAGTAGATAATGCCCATGTATATTTTAAAGGAATACAATACGATCCATTGTAGACGAATCATCAAGTGAAGCCTTGATGCTCCAAATATGTATATTTTATATGGAGATAAAAAAGTATAATATTCAGCTAAAGGTTCTCTATAGTTTTGTAGAAAGTGGTTTAAGAAATAGGTATGGTTAAATATATTTCATTTGTCTCGTATGAATATTCCCATTACGATAATAAAAATGCATTTAAATTATATCGTTTTATGAAAATTGTTTTTACTCACATAAAATAACACTTTGGTGCCCTCTGGTGGTGAGTGTTACTTATCGTAATGGTACAATCGGAAGTGCAGTTTTCTGCTCGGTCCACCAGGAGGCAGAAGCGGCTTCAGTTTCAGACAAGAGGCCTTCAAATAATTGACAACATGACAAAGGGGTGGTCTATTAGTAAACGGTTATAAAGATGGGGTTTACAGGCCATAGACTTTGACTGCATGGAAATATGTTCTAATAAATAATAGTAGTGTTTGGTTTTGCACACCTTGAAATATCTTTAAAAATGTTGGTGGAACTGAATTTTATTACATTGTGTTTGCTCAATATAAAAACTCCCTCTCAAATAATCAGATTTTCATAGGTAAGTTATTTTATCTTGGAAGAATGGTGTGTGAGAGAGATATCTGATCTGTTGTCAGTTTTTTAGATGAGGAAGTCTGTCAGACTTTCTGTGAAAAGTATAATTTTCAATGTGATCACAAGCAATATGATAAGTTACTGAATTGTATGTTTTTCATGTTTCTTTGATTGACAATGCCCAATGTAACTGAAGCTCTTCATTTACCATCTTTTAAAAAACGGTCAAGACTTTATTAGGATTAATTTCCCAAAGACAGATTTCTATGACATAAGTCATAGATCCTCTTCTGAATATTGTTAATTCCTCATTATCATTAGGATATGTCCTATAAACTGGCTTATTTATAAAAAAGGACCAAACCTGACCATCAATAATACAGACTCGACACACAGTGGACGATACAATACTGTAAATGTAAATTTGCTGAATGTCCAGTGTGAGTACTTGTAATCTTGTGAACGTCCAGAGTGGGTACTTGTTAATCTGCTGGGTGTCCAGTGTCAGCTCTTGTTACTCTTGTGGAGTCCAGTGCAAGTACTGGGTTTTCTTCTGGACCTCCAATGTGAGTACTTGTTAATCTGCTGGACATTCAGGGCAAGTACTTGTTACCCTTGTGTACATCTAGTGTGAGTACTTGGTAATCTGCTGGATGTCTAGTGCGAATACATGATAATCTTCTGAACGTCCATTGTGAGTGCTTGATAATCTTTTCATCTAGTGTGAATACTTGGTCAATTGCTGGGCATCCAGCGTGAGTACTTGTTAGTCTTCTGGGCATCCAACGGGAGTACTTGTTAGTCTTCTAGGCATCCAGCGTGAGTACTTGTTAGTCTTCTAGGCATCCAGCGGGAGTACTTGTTAGTCTTCTGGGCATCCAGCGGGAGTACTTGTTAGTCTTCTAGGCATCCAGTGGAGATGGTCCAGCACATCTCAATTTAAAATGTTGGTAAAATGTCTCGGTCCGACTACCAATTATCATATTTCTCACTGTGTTTGTGCTGTTTAAGCACAGTAGACTTCAACTTCTACACACAGCTAGTGTGAAGTAAACAGGTAATGGGTAAAATACAGACATGTGGCGTTTTGTTAGTGTTGTGGCCTACAGTAGATGTTTGCACACATGCATTTAACGTTGCCTGCATCTGAAACTTGTAAAATAGAGAAGTTTAAATCTGCAGCTTTTCAAATCTTGAACTGTAAACCACACATTCTACATCACACATTTTTTTCTTCAGATGCCCCAAAAAACACATCATTGTCAGCGTTTCCTTCCAGCTCAGTGAGGGAGGGCAAACCAGTGACTCTGAGCTGCAGCACTGATGCAAACCCAGCAGAGCTCAACTACACCTGGTACAGAGAAACCAAATCTCAATTTGAGCTCCTCCAGCCTGGATATAATCACACCTATATTGTGACAAACCCTACACATGGTGCATGGTATGGCTGTAATGCTCAAAACCAGCATGGCCAATGAAACGCTACAGTTCAAGTTGATGTTCAGTGTGAGTACAAAGACAGAACTCAAATTAATTTAACCTGATGAACTTGATCTGATCCATGATAACATAAATACTGTGAACATGGTATAATAACTGCAGCAAACACATACAGTAACAATACTCCAGATTGCATTGCATTTTAATGTAAAGTGCGCTGTTTACGGTGAAAATAAATGCAAATAAACATGAAAAAGTTGCAAATTTATAATAAAAGCATGAAACAAATGTATATTTTTCCACACAGTCAAAATATGACTTTCATCACTGAAAAGACACTACTAAGGAGTTGCAAAAAACCCACAAAAGCATGTTTAAATTACTTCAACTTGACATCCCTGCAAACAAGCCTGCACTGGCCCTTTACAGGCTCACTTAGGGCTAGCCTTAGGGCCCCCAGCGGGCTGCCAGCGCAGGGCCCCTGAGAATTTGCTCATTGGCAAAACGTTGGCCCCTTAGCGCTGGCCTTGCACAAGCAGCCTTCACCTAGCCCCCCAGGAAGCCCTCACTATGCCCACACAGGGCCCGCACTATTAATCTACAACAATACATCTGATTCACTTTAAATACTTTCCAGCTACTATAACTTAAGTCTTTGGGAAAAACAGTTATTATACATCTGAAATGGATGCAGTCACCACATAACTAATGTCTGTATTGTCAAAAATGTACAGTAGTCAAAAGGGATTTCAAATCAATTTATTAAATACAAAACAGAAAACATTCAGTTCAGGTTAATACAGCTACATATAGCCAAAAATGTAAATACACAAAAGTAAAAAAAATAAATAAATGAAAGAAAGCAAACAAAGCAATGTAAGACTATAGGATTTCATCATGTGAAAGTTGATGTGTGCAAAAGTCTTATCTGTAGTACATCAATGTCCAAACACTGTCCATAGCTGAAGTTGACTGATAGCAAATTAATAATCCAACCTCTTGT